GAATACACAATTGTTCCTGAATAGTTAAGTACATCAGCTTACCTTTGGAAAGTTTAAACATTCAGTTACAATCCAAATGTTTTACTTTCATTAAATGTTTATTAAATCTTACAAGCAATGGCAAATTGCTTTCCATGATTTTTCCAAAACAATCCAATCGTCACAAAAAACCCATTCTGTGTTTGGTGTGTTTCCACAAAAATGTTTTGTATTAAGAATTCCTTATCATTCTTACCTGTTACCAGGTGAAAGTTAGTCCTTGTTTGGGAACTTCCAGGTTTTTTGCATTCCCAAGGAGCTGGAATTTGGAAGCTGGCTGGTTGTCAGCTCGCTGAGATGAGCACCCAGCTTTCATAGGGTTCACTGCTGCGTGAAGACCAACAATGCAATAAAAGAAAGCACTTCTTCACTTCCTTCAATCCCCAAACAGCTTCCAGAATTCACAGATAATAAAAATAATTTGCTCCTACATTGTTTTCACGAGCATTAGAAACCTCTAAAGCCTCATTCTTTCCCACTGTTAGAACTTATCAAAGCAGCTTGCCTGGTAACTTCCCCAGCTGACCTCCAGAGATGAATGTGCAAGAGGAAAGCATTGTTTTGGACAAGTCAGGCATAGCCAGTCCCCAAAAAGCCTCTAAAAATCCTTGTTTAAGGTTATGTAAGCGAGGGGAGGAGGATTGTGCTTTGTTCCTCACACTAACTTATTAAATACTTGCTAAATCCTTGTGAAGTTTGGGAAAATTAGGGGCATTCTGTTAATTTTTAAAGGCAGTAGCACTTTAAAAAAATGTCCAAAATTACACCACAAAAGTTTTTAAAGATGACAAAGACATTCAGAGCTGAACCTGCTGCAGCAACATTTCAAGGGTTTAGAAAATATTTTAAACATAAATTAGTTGAGTTGATTCAAACAGTATTTCCTTATGTTGTTTTGGTGAGTTTGGGGTTTGTTTTGTCATTTTGGGTTTGTTTGTTTGGGGTTTTTGTGGGTTCTTCAGGAAAACTGCAGTTAACATTAAAAAAAGAGATGAAAAAACCTAAGATGAGTTGAAAAGCTTTATTTCCTTAATAAAATCACAATTATACATAACATTCAATCACAGCATTTTTTCCTTGATATTTATTTTCCTGTTGGCTAAATGCAATTCCTAATATAAAATCCCAATTTTTAAATTAACATTTTAAAAAAGTTAATTCATTTATATACCCACAACATAACCTGACCTATTGAATTGGTTTTTAAAGGCAATTTTGTCACCAATTTTGGAGGGGTCCTGGTTCCTTCCTTCCTGCAGGGAGGAAAAGGCTCTGGAATAGCAGAAGAGATCATTCCTCTGGGAATTCCAGAGTGGGAAGCTAAATCAGCATCCCCTCTGCAGGAACAGCACTGTCCTCTGCTTCATTGACAGCAGCCTGTGCTTGGCAGCTGAAGAAACCTCCTAAGAGATAAAATCTTCATTAAACTCATCTATTTTTTTAGGAGAGCTCAAGAATATTCTAATTTTAAGGTAAAAAATCCCAAAGAAACTCTCTTTTGCCCCAAGCCAAGCAAACAACCTCCCTCTGCCCTCTGCACCACCCAACATGGTCCCACCTCGGGGTGAAGCTACCACATTTTACAGCAAAAACCATCCAAGCTCCCAAATTAATTCCTAAAGCCAGCATATTTCCAATTTAAAACCACAAATCCAACACTTTTAGATTTGGTGACAAAAGGCCATGACAAAACCTTACGGTTCTGCCATGACTAAACCCAAATTGAGGTTTTACAACCAGTCATGCTGCTTTTTCCAAAATGAAAGACAAACTCTGGGAAGCAAAATCAAAAGGGCTGACAGATATCCAAATGGAATAACAAGGATTGTCTCAGACCTTGTCTCATGAAAGGTAACTGTCCCTTTTTGTTGCAATTAATTTAAAGCAGTGATTATGTAAATGCAGCTGGGGAGTCCATGGATTGCTGGGATTCTTTCAGCTGAAGGGGTGCAGCATGATAGCTACAACTTTATTGCAGACCACGAGCCAGCAGGTAATTCCCACACCTCCTGGAAAAGAGGGAGAAACCACAATTTAAATTGTTGGATCAGTAACCCTGAGGAACCTGTGCAGCTGCAAACATCCTTGGAAGTGTAAAAAATGAAACTCAGAACTCGTGAGGCCAACAGGAACTAAACTCTTTATGTACAAAAGGGAGATGCAAGAGATGGGAGATAAATCAATGCTGGTCCCAAAAAATTCTGGATTGTCTTGGGAAAAGAGCACCAAATACACAAATATGAGCTGAAGTGTGGTGAGTGCATCCCAGAGTTAAAACCTTCTGCTACAGACCCAAGAGAAAATATCTAAGTTTAAGGCTCGGCAGAATGCTTTGCTTGAACTTAAATTCAGGATTTGAGAGATGTAGAAAGTAAATTTCTTCTGAAGTTGAAGTTTTATAAGTACATAGCTATTCATAGCACACCTGTGAAGAAAACTCCCTTTTGGGTGATTTGCTGATTTTCTAATTTAAATCTTCCCCACGGTCTATTCAATACAGAGAAGGGCAATGCTCTGTTTGGGTGGAAATAAAAAGGACAAAATTTCATTATCACTTCAAGAAACCAGAACTGAGCACACAGAAGAGCTGCTCAAATACTTCAGCCCTGTGCTCTGGCAGTCAGAGAAGCAGCTGCTGTTAATCCCTGGATGCTCTGGGGCTTGGGAATGTCCTTTTCCTCACCTGCCACTCCTGTAGGGAAGGCCACCAGGCGCTCCAGGGGAGCCAACCATTTGCTTGGAAGCACGGTGACAGGCTCAGAGTAGTACTTCCAGATCAGAGAGATCATCAGGGCAGCCTGGAAAGGGGATTTTTATTAGTTTGGATAAGAACACACATCAAAGTGCATTCCCAGTGCTACCTGGAAACAGCAAATAATAAATTCTAAAGGAAGGGAATTGTTTCTTTGTTATTTTGTTTTCTTCAAAATATTTTTAGATTTGGCATGAGCTTAAATTTATACCAAATATTACAAGGTTGCAGGGAGAGCTTGTTTTCTTTCAAGACCCTCTTTCCAATCCAACAGAGTTAAAGAAAGTCATAGCATTTGTTAAAATTCTGATGATCCTTTTTAGCCTGAATTTTTGCCTACAAGAAGTCCAACTCACTGTAACAGGCCCCTAAGGAAATCTTCAGGCTGACCACTGCCATCCTCATTAGCAAATTCTTGTTAGCAAATTCCTTGGCATCACGTCAGAACTACTGAGACAATCTGATGAGGCACCGTGGGGAAATGTGTGGCAGCTGTAGGTGGAGATTTGCATCCTCAGCAGAAGTATATTTTGGTTTCAAAGTCACAGTTATATTTACATGTAGCAGAATTTTCCTGGATTTGGGGGTCATATATAAAAAAAACCCAGTGATAAAAGAGCTAAGACAAACTCCAAACTCTTGTCCCCCTAAAACTAGCAACAGAGTTGAGATGAAAGTTAAACTCCTTCCATACTCAGCTACCAGATTTTATCAGCAGCATTTCCCTTCCAGTTCCAGAAACTTTCTTTTTGACAAACTCTGTGTCCTTGGAATCCCAGAATGGTTTGGACTGGAAGGAATTTAAAGATTCTCCAGTGCCACCCCTGCTATGGCAGGGCCACCTCCCGCTGCCCCAAGCCCCAGTGTCCAACCTGGCCTTGGGCACTGCCAGGGATCCAGGGGAATCTGGGAATTCCATCCCAGCCCTGCCCATCCTGCCAGGGAACAATTCCCAATTCCCAATCTCCCACCCAGCCCTCTGGCAGTGGGAGCCATTCCCTGTGTGCTGTCCCTCCATGCCCTGGAAATTGTCTCTCTCCAGCTTTCCTGGGGCTCCTCCAGGCCCTGCCAGGCCACCCTGAGCTCAGCCCAAAGCTTCTCCTGTGCAGGTGAACAATCCCAGCTGTGCCAGCCTTTCCTGCCAGCAGAGCTGCTCCATCCCTCTGCTCATCCTGGAGCCTCCTCTGGGCTCTCTGCAGCAGCTCCAGCTCCTCCTGTGCAGGGGGAGCCCTGAGTGACCAGCTATGGGCCAAAAAACCAGGAGAGAATTGTAACATTACTGAGGATTTGGGTTCAGTTGTATCCATAACAAAATATTTGCTTACCTGCAATATGTAGAATACAATATTTATGACCCACTTTATTTTGGCTAGTTGGGCAGTTCGTGCTTTCACTGTTAAAAGAAAAAAAAATGTTAGTTTGCATTATTTATAATAATGAATTATTATTGCATTAAATTAATAATTTTTTAATATTTCCCTCTTTAAGGCTGGACATTACCCTGTTTAAAAATCTCTCTAAAAGATTTCTAACCATATTAAAAACACCCTTCTACAACAAACTGCCAGCTCTATATCACACTGTAATTTCTATCTTGACTTACTCAAAAGAGGATTCAGTGATGGGCATCACTAAGAATAAATAATTACACAGAGAAGGAGGAAAGGGGAGGAAAGGGGAGGAAAGGGGAGGAAAGGGGAGGAGAGGGGAGGGGAGGGGAGGAGAGGAGAGGAGAGGAGAGGAGAGGAGAGGAGAGGAGAGGACTGAAAATGGGTGAGATGGGGAAGGTAAGTTTGAAGGATAAATACTTAAAGCTGAAAACAGTCCTGACAGCTTTTCAGAAACAGAAAATGTTTTTCCTTTTGGAACAGGGAGCAGACATGGAACTGTACCGTGGGTTTTGAGCTTGTCAGTCATTTTGTTAATCTTCCTCTCCAGCCGGGCATATCTGGCAAACTCATCCATCATACTGATGGTGGCAAGCTCCTGCTTCATGGTCTGGATCTCAGCTCTCATCTGGGATTCCTGCTCTGCATCCTTCTGTAACAGCCTGGATATCTAAGAAGTGAAGGAAGTGACCAATTACTGATGCAGAATCCCACTGATTTGCTTTAGTCTGTATAAAGTATGATCTCAAAAGCCTCCCATCAAAAAGGCCCTTTCATTGAGATGCAGGAAATCCTTGGGCAACAAGCGAACAAGTGACAAGATGAGAGTAAACAGCCTCAAGCTGGACTCAACGATCTTGAAGGGTTTTTTCCACTTTAAACGATTCTGTGATCATTCCCATTTCCAGCTCCAGCAGCCAAGTATTCCAATATTTTCTCCCTTCCTTTTACTTTCCTAATTTCTTTTATTGAGGCACTAAACTGCTTGTTGGCTTGTGAACTGTTTGCCATAGAAATGCAGGCACAAAGAACATAAAATCTTTTTCTTGCTGTTCCTTAGCATATCTTCCCCAAGACACATGTAATTTATTTCCCCAGGGATGCTATTCTCAGGCCTGCAGACAGTGAGAGCATTTACACCATCTTCAGCCTCAAACCACAGCAGAAAGCTGAGCAGAGATCTTCAGAGAATCTTAGAATATCCTGAGTTGGAAGGGACCCACAAGGAATTGAGTCCCACTCCTGGCCCTGCCCAGACTCCCAACAATCCCACCTGGGCATCCCTGGCAGCGCTGGCCAAAGGCTCCTGCAGCTCTGGCAGCCTCGGGGCCGTGCCCATTCCCTGGGCAGTGCCAGCACCTCTGGGGAAGAACCTTTCCCTAAAATCCACCCTAAATCTGCCCTGGCCCAGTTCCAGTCCTCCCTGGGTGCTGTCCCTGTGCCAGAGATCAGAGCTGTCCCTCGGGAGCAGCTGCAGATCCCAGCCTCAGCCTCCTCCAGACTGAACGAACCAAATGCTCTCAGCCTCTCCTCCTATGGCTGTTTCATCACTCTTCTCTAGCAGCACCGAGTTCAGCTTCCCAAATTGCTGAGGGTGATTTAAGGTTTAAAGGATTTTTGTCCATTTTTGAACAGTGCACACTGATCTCTGTGCCAGTGAAGTTATTTCTGTGGTAGAGCAGAGCGACAGGGATTTCAGCATCTTTGTACACATGTGAGTTGATCTGGCAGCCACAGCATTTATTTGTCCTCAAATCCATTATCCACGCTGGCACAGGAATGCTTCAGATCAGCTCAGGGGCACCCTGATCAGTGGCTAAGATTATAAAGATTTATTCCTACATTGACTTAATTCCTTAATATCCATATCCACTGATCTCCCACCTCAACAATGGGCATCTGTTGAAAACATGCAAGACTGAGCAAAGCTGTATTTCCCATACCAAAACTGGGAAGCTGTGGATGCCCCGTCCCTGGAGGAGTCCAGGAGCAGACTGGACGGGGCTCTGAGCAGCCAAGCCCGCTGGTGGGGGGCTGGAAGCGGATCATCCTTAAGGCTCCTTGCAGCCCAAACCATCCCGCGATGCACCCAAGGGCTGCAGGCTCAGGAGCACCACTGACCTCACTTTTGTGACACTGTGACACTGGAAGCGGGGCTGCGGGAGCCACCCAGCCAGCAGCATCAGCTTCTCTGCAAGCCCAGCAGCAGCACCAGGCCCTGCCCGTCCCTGCCCGGCGCTGACAGAGCCCCCTCAGCGCCCCGCCGGCATCCTGGGGTGCCCTCACTGCCTTCCCCGGCAGCGGCATCACTCACCAGCGAGGAGCAGGAGGGCAGGAGGATCTTGAGCGCGTTGCAGAG